ATGCACCCTCATCTTACACTTTGAGGATTTATGGAAAAACCAGTGAGAGGAAAAATATGAAATTTTCAGAATGGAAAGGGGAAAGCCAGGAGTTCATAGTACTAAAATTTCAAATTCATCCAGTGGAAAACGATAACATGAGAAATTTCAGAAAATCAACCTTAAAATACAAAACTAGAAGACAAATTCACCCTTATCTTACATTTTGAAGATTTTTGGAAAAACTAGTGTGAGGAAAATTTTAGGATGAAAAGGAGAAAGTCAATAGTTCATCATACCAAAATGTTAAATTGATTTAGCGAAAAATGACAACATAAAAATTCCAGAAAATCAACTTTAAAATATAAATCTATAAGAAAAATGCACCTTCATCTTACATTTTGAGAATTTCTGGAAAAACCAGTGAGAGGAAAATTTTGAAATTTTTAGGATGAAAAGGAGAAAGTCGAGAGCTCATCATACCAAAATGTCAAATTGATCAAATGAAAAATTACAACATAAGAAATTCCAGAAAATCAACTTCAAAATACCAAACATGATAAAAATGCACCCTCATTTTACATTTTGAGGATTTCTGTAAAAAGCAGTAGGAGAAAAATTTTGAAATTTTTAGGATGGAGGGGGTAAAACCAAGAGTTCATTATACTAAAATTTTGAATTGATACAATAAAAAACAAAAACATGAGAAATTCCAGAAAATAAAAAACTATAAGAAAAATGCACCCTTATCTTACATTTTGAGGATTTCTGGAAAAATTAGAGAGAGGAAAATTTTGAAATTTTTAAGATGAAAAGAAGAAAGTCAAGAGTTCATCATGTTAAAATGTCAAATTGATCCAATGAAAAATGACAACATAAGAAATTCCAGGAAATCAACTTCAAAATACCAAACATGATAAAAATGCACCCTCATTTTACATTTTGAGGATTTCTGTAAAAAGCAGTAGGAGAAAAATTTTGAAATTTTTAGGATGGAGGGGGTAAAGCCAAGAGTTCATTATACTAAAATTTTGAATTGATACAATAAAAAACAAAAACATGAGAAATTCCAGAAAATAAAAAACTATAAGAAAAATGCACCCTTATCTTACATTTTGAGGATTTCTGGAAAAACCAGAGAGAGGAAAATTTTGAAATTTTTAAGATGAAAAGAAGAAAGTCAAGAGTTCATCATGTTAAAATGTCAAAGTGATCCAATGAAAAATGACAACATAAGAAATTCCAGGAAATCAACTTCAAAATACCAAACATAAGAAAAATGCACCCTCATTTTACATTTTGAGGATTTCTGGAAAAAGCAGTAGGAGGAAAATTTTGAAATTTTTAGGATGGAAAGGGAAAGACCAGGAGTTCATTATACTAAAATTTCAAATTGATCTAATAAAAAACGAAAACATAAGAAAAATGCAACCTCATTTTACATTTTGAGGATTTCTGGAAAAACCAGTGAGAGGAAAATTTTGAAATTTTCAGGATGGAAAGGGGAAAGCCAGGAGTTCATCATACTAAAATTTCAAATTGATTCAATAAAAAACGACATCATAAGAAATTCTATACAATCAACCTTAAAATTCAAATTCAAGAAAAATGCATCCTCTCACATTTTGAGGATTTCTGGAAAAATCAGTGAGAGGAAAATTTTGAAACTTTTAGGATAAAAAGAGAAATGACAGAAGTCCATCATGCAAAACGACAGGATTACGAATGCCAGAATATAAACTTTAGTGAAAAAACTAATGAGTAGACATAGTTTTTCTATTCCAGGCTCTTGAATTTTGTCAACTTTGAGAAATTTGAATGAAACTCAAGAGCCTGGAATAATAAAAAATTGGAAAAAAAAACTTAAGCCATGGGGAGAGGAATCTTGAGAAAAAATTAATAGACAAGTGGATAAATTTGAAGGAAACTCAAGTGCCGGGAATTAAACTAAAATTAAAAATTGAGAAAGAAAGTTTAAGCAATGGAGAAAGGAAAGTTGAGAAAGAATGAGTAGACAAGTGAGTTGACATAGTTTCTCTTGATTTTTGTTCACTCTGAGAAATTTGAATGAAACTCAAGAGCGTGGAATAATGAGAAATTGAAAAAGACAATTTAAGCCATGGGGAGAGAAATCTTGAGAAAAAATGAGTAGACAAGTGGATAAATTTGGAAGACACTCAAAGTGCCTGGAATTAAATAAAAATTAAGAAAGAAAGTTTAAGCACTGGCGAAAGGAAATTTGAGAGAGAATGAGTAGACATAGTTTTTCTATTCCAGATAAACTAAGAAAAATGCATGCACCCTCTTACATTTTGAGTAAATTCAGGAAAAACTAGTGAGAGGAAAATTTTGAAATTTTTAGGGTAAAAAGAGGAAGGTCACATCATTCCCCGTTAGTGGTGCCGCGAGACGAGACTAGACGAGACTTAAGGTTGGTCTCGTCTAGGGTGTCCAAAAAATAGCGTAAAAACTCTTCTTTACGTGGTGGAGGACCCTACAAGGAAGTCCAGAAAAATACTTTAAAAAATCTAGTAGCCGCATTCTTAAGAAAGTTATATACATTTTAATATTTATTAAAATTGGCAACGCTGAAAATATCCCGTTGACAATATGTTAGAGAATTAAATTAAATACCCAAGAATTCGAAGGTGAATTTTCACATCTACCTCTTCATATTACCAAGAATAATGCTGGAGAAGGATTTTTTTAATTTAATTATTTTTCTAGGGTTTCTCAAATGGTCCTCTACCACGAGGAGAATTTTTACGCTATTTTTCGGACACCCTGTATTTATGGTTTTTGTTTTTATATTATAACGGAAGTCCAAAATGCCACAGTGAGAATGCAATTAGTGAAAAATCACAGTAAAGAATAACCCTGATATTTAATTTACTGATTTCATATTCAAATAGCCCCAGAATAGTCCAATAATAAAGCTAGGAATTTTTTTTTTAAAGTATAATTTCGAGACTACACGAGACTCTCGCCGAGTCTGGTCTCGTCTCGTCGAGACTTCACGAGACGAGACCAAAAGTCAGTCTCGTCTCGAAAAGTCGAGACGAGACGAGACCAGTGGCGTCGCGTCGGGGGGGGGGGGTTAATGGGGGTAATTACCCCCCCCCCCAGGATTCAAAATTCAAGGGAAAAATCACGATGCCCAAAAGAAAATACATAATAATATTAAAGAAAATACATTTTTTTTTTTGTTTTATTTTCCTCACAAAGGAAATTATTGTTCTGGAAAAGTGAATGACCTTGAAATTGACAAAAAATTTCGCCTGCGGTGCGTTAGCGGGGGGTCGCATCTTCCCATTACCCCCCCTAGACTGCAAGTCACGCGTCGCCACTGGACGAGACGAGACCAGTCTCGAGTCTCGCGGCATCACTATTCCCCGTATGATAAAATCTCTAAGTTGGCAACATTGTAAAAATCGGTAATAGAATATATTGCAGTTTTCTGTAATGCTTTTTCAATGGAAAACATCAATTTGAGAAACTCTTTAGAGAATCGACTTTTAAAAACTTAAGAAAACTATATCTTTATTACTTTTTGAGAAATATCAAAATGGAAATTCTAGAAAATAATACCTCTAGAACCAGTGTTGCCAATCTGCGGATAATTACCTAAAATTCAGGGTTATCAAATATATTTTGTGTGTCTTTGCAGCACTTCTGTTTGTCTCTTCTTCCTTTGTATTGTTTTTTTTTTTAAATATAATTTTTTTCATTGTTTCAATCTTCATAGAAAAAATAAGAAAAAAATCTTTGGCAACACTGTAAAAATTGGTAATAGAATATTGCAGTTTTTTGTAATGCTTTTCCAGTGGAAATCACAAGCATAACTACTATGAGTGGAAATTGAATTTTGAACTAAGTAGTAGTCAATAATTTTTAATTAATCTTCACTATTTTTAATTAATTATTAATCTAATTTACAAGTGCACTGTGTTTTGAAAAAAATAAAAAAAAAAAAAATGGCAACACTGCTTATGACACAACAAAAGTTAAAAAATTTGACATTTTAAAGTAGGCCTTGTTTTATTTGACAGTTTGGCACGAAATTACTTTTTTTTTGCTAAATTCCAGTAAATTGTTGATAAATTTTCATTGATTTCGCATTTAATTCACAAGTGCACAGGAAAAAACAATAAAAAATACAGCAACCCTGACACAAACGTCAAAAAATTCGATGTTTCAAAGTAGGCCTTGTACTTTTTGACAGCCCCGATTCAAAATGGCGTCTCTTTGTATTGATGGGGCCCCCTTGTTTCGGTTCAAGGCCTTGTTTTCAGTGCAAAGTGGCCCCAAAACCCTCGGCCTTCCACTAATCAAAAGTAAGTTGTACTTAATAATTAATTGTTTAAAAAATAAAAATACAAGATTTTTTTTGTTAATAATAAATGCATTTCAACGTTTTAATTTCGAGACCATCGAGATATGAGAATTTCAATTTAATCTCCACGTAATTATGTATGTTCAAATTGTAACCCAATTATATTGAATTTTCGATAAATTTATTATCAGGTATCATAAAAATTTAATTAAAAAGTTAATGTGGATGACGTGTAGAATTAAAACATCATCCTACTTATTAAGTATGGGACTTAGTCCAAATAATTTAACTTTCAAATTTATTAATTAAGTTCAAAAAGTCACATAAGAAACAATAATGAACTAAAGTACATGATTATATGAAAATTTATTATACAAAATCTGACAATTTTAATTACTCTTGTCCTATTAAATTTTCTATTATTGTTTCTCGTTCTGATAAAAGTTTAATTAGATAATAATTGACCTCACTGAATGAAAATTATTATAAAAAAAAAACTTGTACCAACAATAAAACCCATTAAATTTCCCATTAACTACGTGGATAAAACCCAAAAAAAAAAAAATCACTTGATATTCCATGTTTGTAGCAACAAGTTATAAACAAAATACGTTTTTTGTTGTGACGTGACAAGCATTTTTAAAGTGTTTCAAAACAAAGAAAAAATAACTTAAATTCAAATTCTTACCGTCGGCCAATTCTGCTCCGAAAATCACCGCTTGACTTTTGGCTACTCCGATCGAGTGGGTCAAAGAGTTCTGTCTCAAATTTGTGTTAATTAAAGGCACGATGACTCCCAACTTTGAAAGTCCGAGCCAAATGCACACGTACTCCGGCCTGTTTTCCAAAAACAAGGCCACCCTGTCGCCCTTTTTGTAGCCATGGCTCTTGAAAATGTTGGCTATTTTGTTGCTGTACTCTTCGATCTGGAACAAATTAATTGATTTTATTGATTAATTGTCATTATCGAGCTCAATATTTAATATCATTTGGCAACACTGTTTATATTGACATATAGTGACAGTTGTTATGTCAGTACGTCTCGATTTATAAGTTCATCGAAATGTAATAATTAACATCGAACATAACACAAGTTTTATTCACGACTCACGAGTATTTCCAGATTCACGAATATTAATTAACAGGCTATGGGCCCAGGAACGTAAATACGGGAATACAGTTCGTAAATACGTATAGTGATTCAGTTTTTTCGGAGTTTTCGTAAAAACGATGGCTGTTAATTACTTGACAAATGTACTTCGATTGTCTAAGAATGCTAATTTTTTCAATAAAACAAATGTTGTAACTTGTATCTGTCGTTATCGAGCGCACTCTCACATTCGACTTGTCTTTTTTTTGACATTTGACATTGACGTTTTCATATGACATGCATAGGGTGCGTTCACTAAACATTTTTCGTTTTAATTCTTCCTTTGTCTTTGACAGAATATTCTAGAAATGTTTCAATGGTAACCATTACAAATTCATGTTGTAACTTGTATCTGTCGTTATCGAACGCACTTTCACGTTCGACTTGTCCTTTTTTTGACATTTGACATTGACGTTTTCTTATAACATGCATAGAGTGCGTTCACTCAATATTTTTCATTTTAATTGTTTCTTTTGTCTTTAACAGAATATTCTAGAAATGTTTCAATGGTAACCATTACAAATTCATGTTGTAACTTGTATCTGTCGTTATTGAACGCACTCTCACGTTCGACTTGTCTTTTTTTGACATTGACGTTTTCCTATGACATGCATAGGGTGCGTTCACTAAATATTTTTCGTTTTAATTGTTTCTTTGTCTTTGACGGAATATTCTAGAAATGTATTAATAGTAACCATTACAAATTCACGCAAATTCATGTTATAGCTTGTAGCTGTTGTTATCGAACGCACTCTCACATTCGACTTGTCCTTTTTTTGACATTTGACATTGACATTTTCTTATGACATGCATAGAGTGCGTTCACTAAATATTTTTCGTTTTAATTGTTTCTTTTGTCTTTGACGGAATATTCTAGAAATGTATAAACAGTAACCATTACAAATTTATGTTGTAACTTGTATCTGTTGTTATTGAACGCACTCTCACGTTCGACTTGTCTTTTTTTGACATTTGACATTGACGTTTTCTTATGACATGCATAAGGTGCGTTCACTAAACATTTTTCGTTGTAATTGTATCTTTGTCTTTGACGGAATATTCTAGAAATGTTTCAACAGTAACTATTACAAATTCATGTTGTAACTTGTATCTGTCGTTATCAAACGCACTCTCGTTCGACTTGCCGTTTTTTGACATTTGACATTGACGTTTTCATATGACATGCATAGGGTGCGTTCACTAAACATTTTTCGTTTTAATTTTATCTTTGTTTTTAACAGAATATTTTAGAAATGTTTCAATAGTAACCATTACAAATTCATGTTCTAACTTGTATCTGGCGTTATCGAACGTACTTTCATGTTCGACTTTTCTTTTTTTGACATTGACGTTTTCTTATGTCATGCATATGTCAATTGAATCTTTGTTTTCAACGAAATATTTTAGAAATGTTTCAATAGTAACTATAACAAATTCATGTTGTAACTTGTATCTGTTGTTATTGAACGCACTCTCACGTTCGACTTGTTTTTTTTTTGACATTTGACATTGACGTTTTATATGACATGCATAGGGTACGTCCACTAAACATTTTTCGTTTTAATTGTTCCTTTGTCTTTGACGGAATATTCTAGAAATGTATAAACAGTAACCATTACAAATTTATGTTGTAACTTGTATCTGTTGTTATTGATCGCACTCTCACATTCAACTTGTCTTTTTTTTTAACATTTGACATTGACGTTTTATATGACATGCATAAGGTGCGTTTACTAAACATTTTTCGTTGTAATTGTATCTTTGTCTTTGACGGAATATTCTAGAAATGTTTCAACAGTAACCGAGACAGTAACTATTACAAATTCATGTTGTAACTTGTATCTGTCGTTATCAAACGCACTCTCGTCCGACTTGTCGTTTTTTGACATTTGACATTGACGTTTTCTTATGACATGCATAGGGTGCGTTCACTAAACATTTTTCGTTTTAATTTTATCTTTGTTTTTAATAGAATATTTTAGAAATTTTTCAATAGTAGCCATTACAAATTCATGTTGTAACTTGTATCTGGCGTTATCGAACGCACTTTCATGTTCGACTTGTGTTTTTTTGACATTTTACATTGACGTTTTCTTATGTCATGCATAAGGTGCGTTGACTAAACATTTATCGTTTCAATTGAATCTTTGTTTTCAACGGAATATTTTAGAAATGTTTCAATAGTAACTATTACAAATTCATGTTGTAACTTGTATCTGTTATTATCGAACGCACTCTCACGTTCGACTTGTCTTTTTTTTGACATTTGACATTGACGTTTTCATATGACATGCATAGGGTGCGTTCACTAAACATTTTTCGTTTTAATTGTTTCTTTGCCTTTGACGGAATATTCCAGAAATATTTCAATAGTAACCATTACAAATTCAAGTTGTAACTTGTATCTGTCGTTATCGAACGCACTTTCACGTTCGACTTGTCTTTTTTTGACATTTGACATTGACGTTTTCTTATAACATGCATAGAGTGCGTTCACTCAATATTTTTCATTTTAATTGTTTCTTTTGTCTTTAACAGAATATTCTAGAAATGTTTCAATGGTAACCATTACAAATTCATGTTGTAACTTGTATCAGTTGTTATTGAACGCACTCTCACGTTCGACTTGTCTTTTTTTGACATTGACGTTTTCCAATGACATGCATAGGGTGCGTTCACTAAATATTTTTCGTTTTAATTGTTTCTTTGTCTTTGACGGAATATTCTAGAAATGTATTAATAGTAACCATTACAAATTCACGCAAATTCATGTTGTAGCTTGTATCTGTTGTTATCGAACGCACTCTCACGTTCGACTTGTCCTTTTTTTGACATTTGACATTGACGTTTCCTTATGACATGCATAGAGTGCGTTCACTAAATATTTTTCGTTTTAATTGTTTCTTTTGTCTTTGACGGAATATTCTAGAAATGTATCAACAGTAACCATTACAAATTTATGTTGTAACTTGTATCTGTTGTTATTGAACGCACTCTCACGTTCGACTTGTCTTTTTTTGACATTTGACATTGACGTTTTCTTATGACATGCATAAGGTGCGTTCACTAAACATTTTTCGTTTTAATTGCTTCTTTTGTCTTTGACGGAATATTCTAGAAATGTTTCAACGATAACCATTACAAATTCATGTTGTAATTAGTATGTCGTTATCAAACGCACTCTTGTTCGATTTGTCGTTTTTTGACATTTGACATTGACGTTTTCTTATGACATGCATAGGGTGCGTTCAATAAACATTTTTCGTTTTAATTTTATCTTTGTTTTCAACAGAATATTTTAGAAATGTTTTAATAATAACCATTACAAATTCATGTTGTAACTTGTATCTGTCGTTATTGAAAGCACTCTCACATTCGACTTGTCTTTTTTTAACATTTGACATTGACGTTTACTCATGACATGCATAGGGTGCGTTCACTAAACATTTTTCGTTTTAATTGTTTCTTTGTCTTTGACAAAATATTCTAGAAATGTTTCAATAGTAACCATTACAAATTCATGTTGTAATTATTTGTATCTGTTGTTATCGTTGCACTCTCACGTTCAACTTAACTTTTTTTTGACATTTGACATTGACGTTTTCTTACGACATGCATAGGATGCGTTCACTAAACATTTTTCGTTGTAATTGTATCTTTGTTTTTGACGGAATTTTCTTAGAAATGTTTCAATAGTAACCATCACAATTTCATGTTGTAACTTGTCTCTCTCGTTATTGAACGCACTCTAACGTTCGACTTGTCTTTTTTTTTGAGATCTGACATTGATGTTTTCTTATGACATGCATAGGGTCCGTTCACTAAACATTTTTCGTTTCAATTGTATCTCTGTCTTTGACGGAATATTCTAGAAATGTTTCAATGATAACCATTACAAATTCATGTTGTAACTTGTATCTGTCGTTATCGAACGCACTCTCACATTCGACTTGTCTTTTTTTGACATTTGACATTGTCGTTTTCTTATGACATGCATAGGATACGTTCACTAAACAATTTTCGTTTTAATTGTAATCTCTGTCTTTGATGGAATATTCTAGAAATGTTTCAATAATAATTATTACAAATTCATATTGTCACTTGTATCTGTTGTTATTGAACGCACTCTTACGTTCGACTTGTCTTTTTTTTTGACATTTGACATTGACGTTTTCTTATGACATGCATAGGGTGCGTCCACGAAACATTTTTCGTTTAAATTGTTTTTTTGTCTTTGACGGAATATTTTTAAAATGTTTCAATAGTAACCATTACAAATTCATGTTGTAACTTGTATTTGTTGTTATTGAACGCATTCTCGCGTTCGACTTGTCTTTTTTTTTGACATTTGACATTGACGTTTTCATATGACATGCACAGGGTGCGTTCACTAAACATTTTTCATTTTAATTGTTTCTTTGTCTTTGACGGAATATTCCAAAAATATTTCAATAGTAACCATTACAAATTCATGTTATAACTTGTATCTGTCGCTATTGAACGCACTCTCACGTTCGACTTGTCTTTTTTTTGACATCTGACATTGACGTTTTCTTATGACATAAATAGGGTGCGTTCACTAAACATTTTTTGTTTTAATTTTATCTTTGTTTTTAACAGAATATTTTAGAAATGTTTCAATAGTAACCTCAATAGTAACCATTACAAATTCATGTTGTAACTTGTATCTGGCGTTATTAAACGTACTCTCACGTTCGACTTGTCTTTTTTCGACATTTGACATTGAAGTTTTCTTACGACATGCATAGGGTGCGTTCACTAAACATTTTTCGTTTTAATTGTTTCTTTGTCTTTGAGAAAATATTCTAGAAATGTTTCAATAGTAACCATTACAAATTCATGTTGTAATTATTTGTATCTGTCGTTATTGAACGCACTCTCACGTTCGACTTGTCTTTTTTTGACATTTGACACTGAAGTTTTCTTATGACATGCATAAGGTGCGTTGACTAAATATTTTTCGTTTCAATTGAATCTTTGTTTTTAACAGAAAGTTTTAGAAATGTTTCAATAGTAACCATTACAAATTCATGTTGTAACTTGTATGTGTTGTTATCGAACGCACTCTCACGTTCGACTTGTCTTTCTTTTGACATTTGACATTGACGTTTTCTTATGTCATGCATGAGGTGCGTTCACAAAACATTTTGCGTTTTAACTGTTTCTTTGTCTTTGACGGAATATTCTAGAAATGTTTCAATAGTAGCCATTACAAATTCATGTTGTAACTTGTATCTGTCGTTATCAAACGCACTCTTACGTCCGACTTGTCTTTTTTTTGACATTTGACATTGACGTTTTCTTATGACATGCATAGGGTGCGTTCACTAAACATTTTCCGTTTTAATTGTTTCTTTGACTTTGATGGAATATTCTAAAAATTTTATTTTTTTTATCCAACAATGTGGCAACTTTGTAAAATGTTCTATATACCCTTTCGTTGACATCATTTATCTTCATTTATTCTATTTGGTGTAATCTGAAAGCATTTGACAACTCTGTCTTACGCAACGTTGCGTTGTCAAACTGTCGTTTTTTCAAAAAAAAAATTATGGTCCTCCATAACGCAATGTTTTCAATTTCATATTTCTAAAAAGCTTATGAAAAAATATACAGTTGCTGTGCAACGTTGCTAATCTATGTTATAAGTATTTTTAAGTCGTATTGAATTTTTTTTTTACAATTTGGCAACTTTGTGAAATGTTTAGTAGCTTTCTATTGACATTATTTGTGTAATTTAAAAACCTTCGAGAACATTGTCTCAATGTTAAAGTTTTATGCAACGTTTCAAATTTGAAATTAAAAAATATAAAATCTTTTTTTTTTTTTAAAGATAAAAGTCAAAATGACATTATGTTGGCAATACAATGTAAAATTGTCAATGCTCCCAAATTTTTTATGTAGAATAGGCTTGTGTTGCCAACATAGTTACTAAATTTTTGACAAAAAACACACTTTACAACTGATGTACAACGTTGCCACGTTTAAGGTCTATTTTGGAATATCTTTTATTATCATGCCTACATAAAAAAATATCTTTAGGAAATATGCATCCTTGGACTTTTTGGTTTTTTTTTTTGGAAAAATTAATAAGAAAATATTTTGAAATTTTCAGGGTGAAAGGAAAATGAGCTCATCATATTAAAATTTCAAAATAATTCAGTGAAAAATGACAATGTCAGATATTCTAGAAAATCTACCTAGAAAAATTAACAAAATACACTCTCAAGAAAACCAGTGATGGAAAAAATTTGATTTTTGAGTGAAAAGAAGATGAAAAGGAGCTCATTATACCAGAATTTCAAAATGATTCAGTGAAAAATGAAAATGTGACAAATTTTATAAGACCCAATTTGTATTGTGTACCAAATAGGAGACAAACATAAAGAATTCAATGCTAACGTATCGGAAATTTTCCAAAAATGACAATGATTTTTCAATTTTGAATCTTTTGAAATTATTGAAACCTTAAACCAAAAATGTATAGAAGATTTAATCAGCTTCAATTTGATCCTAATTGCTTCAAAATCGGATTGAAATGTGTGTCGATGACCAATAGTTTGAAAATTTCTCAAAAATACTTCAGAACCTCAGACTGACTTCAAACTTTCAAGATTATTAATTAGTGTTAATATAAATTTAAAAAAGTTCAAAAATATAATTATGATATGAAAAAAACCTGAATAATTTTAAGTCAACCGCAATTTTGAAGGATTTTAAGAGCTTGATTTTTACAAAACAATTATTATTAGTTATCAAGAAAACAAGTTTGATGAGCATTTTTCGAAGAAAAAGCTGTAAAATTAATTTGTCATTAGGAAAAATAACGAGGTTCGAAGTTTGAAACTAGAAAAAATATGGTTTGTTTATTTAAATAAATATATTATATTTAATTTAATGTACTTTTTACATAATATAGGTACCTACAATTGCAAATTGAAATACATAATTGGCTTTTATATTGTAAAATGTTAAATTTTTATTACTTATAACATTAATTTATTTTTACCTTTACCTAAAAACCTCAATATCAATTATTTAAGTAATGGAAATTTGGATTTAGATTCTTACTAAAAATAGTTAATAAAACCACAAATTTCTCATTTGTAGTTGACATAATCAAATTTAAAATTAAATAATTATTTAATGGAAAAATAGTAAAACAAAACAAAAAACCATTAATAAGCACTAATTTTGAATGAACAATGAAAATTATTGTTCGGCAAAAATGCAATCGTTTTAATAATTATTTTGCTACCAATACCAATACCGATAATAATCATAATTATTAAATACATACTGAAGTATTTATTGTACCTATACCTGATATTAACAATAATGATAAAATACAATTAATTATCTATTATTAATAAGTGTATTTATTGTAGGTATTTGACTTGATACTCCAATAAATTATTTAAACTTGCAATATCTATCGATAAATTAGATTATGCTGTCTTGATGTCACAATTCAAACATGTTAAGCTTGGAAAAACGGAGAATTTATTTCGATATTCTTATGTTATATGAATTGGTGTTAATAAAATATATATTTATCTGTTAATCAAATTTATAAGAAAAATTAACATTTTGTAATTCTTACCTGTATGAAAGTCATTTCTTGGCCCTCGAAAATGATGGCGGGCTTGTGAGGGTGCTTTTTGATATTTTCCAGGAACATTTTGTACAGCGGTACATTTTTTCGGTGTAAACTTTTCACTTCTATCAGAAGCCTTATGTATTTGTATAGGGCACTACAACAAAAAAACATAATGATAATTTTCTTAAAATTCTATATATTAAACATTGTCTTTTAAAAATTATGGAAATTGCATTTTTTTTTTCCAGATGTTCAATTTGAAAAATTGCATATTGACTCTTGTTTCAATTATTTCCAAATTTTTCCCTAAATTCAAGAATTCCTTAATACTGAAAATAGCTTCTCAAAGTGCAAGGTGTTCCATTTGAAATACAAAGTTCTTTCGCTTACCCCATTTACGGAGCGCCCTGTATACATATTTAAAAATACATAGTTTTAACTAATGCATATTGAGTATTAAACAACTCTGTTACTTAATTTTTTTTCTTGCATCACCCTGTAAGGAGGTATTGTCCGAGATCGTACTAAGTGGACATTCTGTATATACAGGGTGTTTCAGAAATAGTGTTACAAACTTTAAGGGTGGCTTTAGCTCATCAACATAAGAAAAAAAGTTCCTATGGATATTGGTCCAAAAACGTTTCGTTTCCGAGGCATTGGTGCTAGAAATTAAAGAAAAAAAAATTGTATTTTTATTTTTTCAAGATAAATAACTGAGATTTCCTCTGAAGTTTCGTACACAACGTATAGATTTTGTTCTTTTTCAAAAACAGCCATAATATTTACGATTAATGAAGGGATGTTTTGTCTTTTTTGGAAAACACTGCCAAAACTAATTGAGATACGAAAAAATTGCAAGATACGAAAAACCTTTGCAATGAAACGGAGAAGCTAGTGGCTTAAAAAAAATTAATTGAGAATGCGCTGATAAAAAATATATAGTGGTTTTGGGTGGTGTCACCCCCCAAAAAAGACCAACTCTCTGATTTATTGTTATGATTGTGACCATTTTTGAAAAAGAACAAAAGATATAAGCTCTGTACGAAATTTCAGCTATTTATCTTAGAGATTGAGAAATATAATACACTTCTTATGGGATTTCTGACCGCGGTCAAATTTCACCAAATTTTAGTATGTTATAGATCTGACCTTTGTGATCAATAACTACCCTGGGGTCAACTCAATCCTATGACTAGTTTTTGAGATACAGGGTGTCCAATGTGTGAATGTCCAATATGCATTATTACACCATGGAACGCATTTTCGATGAATATTACTATTTTTATGATAGTTGTTATTAATTTTATTAATAATAATAATAATATAGAGGCATTATAGATGATCACTCGATACCGAGTATGATTATCTACTATTCTTATTGTCGTCGATTATGAGTTTTCTGATGGCCATATATACATTCACGAATATCTGTCATTTTTCAGGAATAACCCTGACTTCTTAGTTTTGGGAAAAATTAATTAGGATCCTATTAGGGCACAGAAGAATGCATTAGTTGTAAATCCATCATAAACTAAGGCTATTTTGTTTGGAAGGAATATAGATGCGAGAGATTAGCTGCTTGCAGGTGTTGAGGCATTGTTGCTAGATCCTGCTGTATCTTTTACAGGGCATGTTAGTACATTTTGTCACAACACATGTTTTATTTTAAAGAAGTTTTATGAATTTGAACATCTTCTTCCTACTAATACCAAAATCATGTTATTAGAGTCGCTAGTCTTGGCACACTGCTATTATGCAGATTGTGTTTATGGATCCTTTCTAACAGAACATAACATCATAAATATAGACTACAAAAGATTCAGAACAATTGTGTACGATATATATTGAACATAAATAGACGAGAACATGTTTCTCCTTACATTACTAACAGTGAAATGCTCAAGATGAGAAAAAGAAGATTTTTACGAATGTATTTTCTGATTTTCGCACAATAAACCTCGAGCCACACGCTTTTCCACAATCTTGGAACACCCAACCTTTGACAGCTAGCAGCATTGTTTCTTCCTCTGTTCTCTCGCTCCTTCCTCCAGGTCCCTCTTTTCGGTCTCGTGTCTGCGTCGCTGCTCTTTAGAACTTTGTGGTCCATCGTAGACTCCCAGCCATCTCCCACTCCGGTATCGTTGGTATCGATGCGGCACTTTGCCATATGTTCCTATTTAGAAAAACTTTGTAGCGTTTTTGTTGACCTCCTTGATTCCGTTTTCCCTCCTTCAGTTGACTGTCCTTCAAAACACTACTACTTCTAAATGTACGTTCGCGGTCTTGCCATTTAATCTGTAGGATCCTTCTCAGGCATCGCTGGTGATATTTTTCTAGGCTTTTTATGTGTTTTCTGTAGGTGGTCCATGGTTTGCATCGATATGTAAGTGTTGGTATTACAACTGCATTGTAGACGTGAAGTTTTGTCTCAGCACTGATATCGTGATTGTCGGAGACTCTCTCTAGAAGTCGCCCGAGTGCTGCGCTAACACATTTCAAGCGATGTTGAATTTCAGCGTCAATAGCATTCGCTGACAGATGGCTCCAAGGTATGAGTAGTGTTCTACGTTCTGCAGAGAATGATCATTCATAATTTTATGGTTATTTCTGGGGCTTGGGGATTAATGCCTGATGCAAGTTGGTGCAGAATCTGCGTCTTGTTAAAGTTGACTTCTAGGCCGATTTTCCTGTACGTCTGGTTGAATGCATTGATATTTGGTTGAAGATCTTCCTCTGTATTGGCCATTACGACGTTATCATGCATATTGAAGTTCAATTGTGGATTTTGTATGTACAGACAAGTTGTACCAAACAACCTGTTAAAAATGCAGAAGCTATCATAACTAAAAGTAAGAATAGAATATACATTACCTACTATTAACAGTTGATTAAAAAAAATTAAAATATCTAAAAAAACTATTGGAGTAAGATATGTCTGTCTGCAGCATCTTGTACTACATTTAGAACCGTCCTATTAGGTAATCTAATGACAGCTTCATGCCTTGCATATCCCAAATACCAAATGACAGCTGCGATATGTGCGCATGAACCTATGGTTCGTGCACCTGTTTTGCACTGGCAAAAGTGACCTAATATAGGCCCATTTTCTATTTCTTGCTCAATATTGTCATCAGCTACATGTTCCGGATTATACCAAATAACTAGTTGGTATTTTACTTGATTTCTGTGCCTTGACCGAATTCTCACACGAATATGATTTGGCTGATTAAATATGGTATCAATTTCAAAAAAAAGATTACCATGCTCTTCAATATTATCCTGTATATAGGATGGTGATAATTTAATTTGGAAGGTTCCATACATAATGTGTCTTAACTGAACCATATTTAAAACAGGAAAATCTCCAAATTGATTTTCTCGTAAAGGTTCCCATCTGCCATGGCGTCTTAAAAGTCCCTCATTTTCTAATCTGGCTTGAAGTACATTGGGTTCGTTTACTCTTTGGAGCATTTCTTGAGCCAGTTGTTCCGTGGCTTCCTCCATGTGTAGCGTTGGACGAAAACGGTTAATTAGGGCACAAGCAATCCGGAAAAAGCTTCCCAAATTATTTGTTTGCGTATTTGGAAAAATGTTACGAAATATTTTAAATATTGATTGGATATGACGGGCATCACGATAGCCTCTGTCAACAATTAATACGTCACCCGGTTGAAGCCACTGTTGAAGTTCTTGATCTCGATCGTATTGACATCTTAAAATTGCTGCATCATTGTTCCTTGAATCTGCGAAGAATGGGCCATGAACGTCTAAAATATAGCGATCTGGGGCGACCATAAGTACTGGTTTTACAAGGTGACAATGTTTATGGACTGAGAAGGACTGTCTTGAAGTTTGAAAATTTGTACTGCGCTGAATATGTAGATAGGTGCCATCAATACAAAGAATTGCTTTTGGATTTTCAGGTTCGTCATTAAATAATTGATTAGCGAAAACTGTCACGTGTTGTGCAATAAACTGCTCCCGATTTATATGGGTAAGACCTAAATTATGAGGCACAAAATTAAGAATTAAAGACTCTCTCACCTTGTTCATAGCTAAAGACACAGATTGTAGACTACTGTACGAAAACATAGTTGCCAAGAAAAAAATCGGAAAGTCCTTGTCTTAGTTTACATAAAAAACATAATAAATCTTTTTTCGTAATTGTTCTACTTCTCCCATAAATATTTACATTAGCGCAAACATCGAATACCTCCCGAAATTGCGCCTTATCTAAAGAAGATAATGCACATAGTTCTTCATCACTAAAATGATTTTCATGTGAAAAGATAACATCTCTTTGGCTACTTTCTTGCATTTTGGACATGAAAGAAGAAAGCTCTCTTCCTTTTAATTCGTAAGGCCTTCTAAGGGATCGAATTCCATTTTGTACGGGATAAAGTAAAAAACCATTATCGTCCAGATGAACAGGACAAATCCTACAGATGCAAATAAAACATTGATGTGTACTATATTTTAAAGGTAGATTCATTATCGTTGGATCGGCGTCCTCTTCATAGGCATGAATTTCCTCTAAAATGCTTCTATTGCAATTTAGGCATAGACGACTATTACCATTCACTTCCATTGCCGCCGGTAGTGAAAGTTCTTCTCTTCGCCTCTTGGCAATATTCACTTTTTGGTTATCATTTTGCCTTAGAATGGCCATCTGTCTGGGATTACCCTCCACTTCACATATAAAACACTGAATTTGCAATCTAAAAGCCATTTTTAAGCATTGACTAATTTTGACAACTTTCTAAAGACAAAAATTGGTTATAAAATGTTATCACATAACCATGGTTATTGTTAATTTAATATTCTCAGTAAGCATTGTTTCGTGAGGGTTCATACTGTTTGCCTTCCTTTTTTAACAAATGGAAATTGACTGGAACAAATCAATGACGTCAAAAACGTTTGTTGGTTCTTAAACCAGAAGTCATTCATTTTAATTTGTCAAAAAAATTGAATATGTCATATGAATTAATCTACGACAACCCTTTTTTTTCCAAATTATGGCATTTTCGATGTCGAAAGTATGAACCCTGGTGAAACGGACCTTACTTATTTTTGTGCCTCAGAATTTAGGGACTACATATGGAGCAAGACTCGGAACAACTGGCTCAAGAAAGTAGGCTATATAGTAGTCCCTAT